TTTGTGTTTCAGCAAGATGGTGCAGCGTGCCGTACCTCAAAAAAGGCTAAAATGGACGGAAGAAAATAATGTACCACTTTTTAAATCGGTTTCTAGCAGTCCATACTTGTCACCTATTGAAACTTTGTGGCGTGAGATGAAAAAGGTTCTACGACAACATCCTGCTCGAACAATCACCGAACTGAGGCAAAAGCTTCAAGAAATATGGGATTGTTTTACACCAAATTTTTGCCAAAACTTGATTAACACGATGCCCCAAAGAATTTCAGCCGTAATAAAAAATAAAGGTGATGTTACCCAATGGTAAAATTTCAATTGTTGCTTTGTTAACTTCGCGCATTTATTCGCACATTGTTTATTTGTTCAGATGTTCTATTAGTTATAGGTCTAAGTGATTTCAAATATGTATTTTTACGACTAGAGTGTATCTAAAATGTCTTTGAGAAAATAAATTGTTTTAGAAGTAAATAGTTTCGTCATGTTTAATTTATAAAGGCATATTTTGGTACAAATCTTGAAGTGGGCCAACTGAAGTGGGAAGGGCCTCGTATATGAACTCAGATATCCAAACACTCTTGATAAATATCCCAGTCTACGACTAGACTAATCTTGTTTATAATTTTCGCTAATGAATATAAAAATTTAATTTAAAGAAAAACCCTACGGTATTTAAAGTTTTCTATGAATTGAATATCTTCACAATCAATTAGTTGAAAATTTAGACATAATTTTTTTCAATTAACATAGCTTTCGCTTGACTTGTATTCAATTTGAAGTTGTTAGATGCTAACCATTTATATTAATCAGTGTCATCGACGAAACTTTTAATTTTGCATCTTTTGAGCGAGGCAGGTACATCGTTTATGTATAAAATAAAATGAAATGGTCCCAGGATAGTGCGCTGTAGAACACCTAACCAATTTTCAATTTTTGATAAAATAGTGTTATCTTTTATGACTTGCATCCTTTTAGACAAATAGTTTTCAATCTAGACTTGCTGATATACCATATGTCTTCACTTTGCCTAAACAGAATATCCCCATCTATAGTCTATAGCTTTTCTTTAAGAACAAACATATTACTTTCCATAAATATTAACTAATATAAAAAAGTTAAGAGAGATAACGCTTTATAGCTGAATTTCTTGTTTAAAGCATGTTATAACCTGCGGGAAGCGGTCAGGTAGCGCCGACTATTACTTTGTAAGGATGACAAAAACCAACCATCTGAATTTCTTACTTCTATCATACTTAGCAGGTACTCAGGCGTTGAAAGTCCATACAAATGCTATCCAGTGCCTTACTTTTGTTTTTCAGAAAATAAGTTGTTAAACATCATGGAGTATACGTTTGACGAATATTCTGATATGTTGTTGTATAGAGGGTAGCACCAAAAAGTGAGATCACTTATTTGCCGAAATAGTGCTGTGAATGGTGCCCTCTAGAAGTTTTTAGTAGTAGTAGTAGAAAGATTTATTTAGCACATTTGGCTACATAAACAGAATAATTGTAAACAACTTAGAACTAGTAAATTCAAGCCATATGGTGTATAATGTAAATGCTGGGCAACCTATAATTGTAGATTTAACAAGTGATTTCTCAATTTTACTTTAAATTTTGTCAAAGTTTTCTGGTCTTTTATCTCCGAGTATAATTTATTATATTCAATCAACCCTTGATGGAATACAGATTTGTAGCATATGTTATACTTTTTGGTTATTAAATGGAAGTCATCTTTACTTCTGGTATTATGTAAATGATGGTCGACATTTGATGATGTTAAATTAGTTAGACTTGATGGAAATATATTATTTTTTACTTTATAAATGAATATCATTACAAGATATTTGATAAAATTTTTTACATTGAGCCATTTTAATTTGCTAAGCATTTGCCTAATTGGAGTATATTTATCTTTATTTAGTATTATTCTCATGCACTTATTTTGTAAAATTTGCAGTCTTTCAAAAATGGAATTATTTGCTAAATATAGAATAGTCGAACAGTACAAGAAATTTGGAAGAATGATGGTATTATAGATAATTTTTCTGCTATATGAACTCAGACATCCAGAAACTCTCGATAAATATCCCACTTTACTACTAATCTTATTTATAACTTTTTCATAATGAATATCAAAAATTAATCGAGAGTCAACAAAAACCCCCAGGTATTTAAAATTTTCTACGAATTCAATATCTTCACCATCAATATTCAGTTCAACATTTGTACATTGTTTTTTCCGATTAACCAGGCTTTCGTTTTACTTGCATTTAATTTTAGTCTGTTAGATGTTAACCATTTTGAGACAAGCTTCAAGTCTTCATTTATATAAGCGATACCAGACTGAATATTTTTAGTACTTATATATCGGCGAAAATCTGAATTTTGTATTTTTTGACTATGGCAGGTAAATCACTTATGTATAAAATAAAAAGAAGTGGTCCCAGGATACTGCCCTGTGGAATATTTTTTTCGAAAGCCTGCTTGCGCCTCCACTAAAATTTTGTTTTCTTCTATAAACTGCATTAATTGGTCATGCACTATGGACTCTAATAATTTTTCAATGTCTGGTAACACATTTACTGGTCTCATATCGCTGCATCTTTTAGAATTTTTTGTTTTGGGAACTGGTGTTATTGTACAGCATTTCAAATTTTCAGGAAAAGAACTGCTTCTCAGTGAACAATTGATCCAATTTAATACAGGATATCCCAAAATTTCGAAACAGTTTTTCAGCACGTTTCTAGTAGTGATATCGGCACAGTTGTTATTTGATTTTAAACTGTTTACTTTTTTTCTTAGATAATTCAATGATACGCTGTGAAATTTTGAAAGTGTATGCACCATTTCCCCCTGGAAACTGATTTTCATATAGTCAGGTGCAGCATTGGCAGTACCCACAATATCAACAATACTTTCCACAAAATATTCATTTAGATTGTTTGCAATCACCAAAGAATTTGTTTCGGTACCGTTTTCGAATTGAACTTGATTTACACAATCATGCGGCTTCGAATTGATCAGTCTTTTTAAAGTCTTCCACATCTTTACACTGTCGCACTTGTTATTATCGATTTGTTTATCGTTGAATTTCCTTTTTTCTTCTCTAATTACATATACACATTTATTCCTAAGAGTTTTATATACCTCCCAATCATCATTTGATTTTGTGAATATACATTTATTGTACGTATTGTTTGTCTCTCAAATTTTGAGCTGCCTTAATATTCTTGTTATACCAGGGTGTATTTTTTGTCGAGCAAATCACTTTTTTATCAGTTGCAAGATCTAAACAAGTTTTTATATTTCCTATTATGCTGTCATATATTTTTTCCATATTCTCACCAAATTCCAATAGCAGCCAGCAAGTTCTCGTTCAAGTTTTTCGTACTTAATAGTATTTACGATTTTCTTAATTTTTGTATCAGAAAAATGACCTACCAAGGGCAGCATTGTCCAACTGTGATCGCTAACTTTAGGTGTATGTACAGCTTTAATCCCTGCACATTCGAAATTTACAATAACAAGATCTAACAAAGTCTCTGATAATGATGTTATTCTGGTACTTTCTTCAATGTTTTGCTTGAACCCATAGTTGTTTATGGTTTCTTTCAATTTTCTTGTTTTCATGCTTTTACCATAATAATTTAAATTAAAGTCACCTAAAAGTATTATATTGTTTCTAAAATTCCACATTTCTTCGCATTTTTCTTCAAAAAACGTTAAAAATGTATCCGCATCACTGTTTGGTGAACGGTAAAAAGTACAAAGATCATAACGTTTCCCAAATAATTTGAACTGTAAATGTGCATACCAGTATACATAGTCTAAACTGGTACAATCGCATAATGCGATCTGTATTTTGTGGTAAACATAAATCACTACACCTCCAGTATGTCTGGAGTTGGAGTTGCATCTGTAGGTTTTATAATTAGTAATTTGTAATTCACCATCAGTGATGTCTTCTGTAGCATGTGTTTCGGTAAGACATAATACAAGTGGTTTTCTCCATCTTAAAAACTGTTGAACTTCATCTATATTATTCAAGACTCCTTGTATGTTTAAATGGTATATTGAGTTATATTCATCACTTACAGATTTAGCCACGTCTTGCAAATCTGATCTTAGTAGTTGCTATTCATTTGCATAACTAATTTTTTCCCTCTCACGTTCAATTTTCCTTTTATATACTTCACAATTTTTGTCAAATGGTCCATGATTAATAGGTAATCCTAGATTAAAATCCTGGTTTGCACTTTTACAATTTGGACAGCATTTGTACATTTCACTGGTACTGCAGTTTTCTGTTGAATGTCCTTCTAATCCACAAGTAATACATCTTCCTGATTTTGTGCAGTATTTAGCTGTGTGGTTAAATCCGGTACAATTATAGCATCGCAAAACATTGATGTACTCGAAAACAGAGCAAACAGACATGTCGATAAAAATAACACCCTGATTCATAACACACTTAAAAGTCACAGCATCCACTTCTAAAATTGCTTGATATTTAGTTTTCATTTTCTTGACTGTAATTACTCTCATATGTGAATTTTCTTGAAAAGATTCATTTTGTTATTTTATAGTATTTATTAGCTCGTCTTCTGCATATTCTTGACAAAATCCAATAACTTTGATTTGTGGTTTTTTACTTATCTCTGAAGTTTTCACTGTATATGTTTCTGGCATTTTTGATTTTATTTCTTTATGTAGCTTCGCGTTATCATCTTTTGTTTTACATTGGATATTCACCCCACCATCCTTGGCCATAAAAAATAACGGATTATTGTTTCTCATACTATTTACATCTCCATCCGCTATAATAGCATAGATTAGCGTAGGCCATAATGCCGTGCTAAGCGGAGAGTATCTGGTCCGTATAATATCAAAAAAAGCACCATAAAGCCCGTTAAAAGTCAAACGTTAAGTGCGCTGTGAATGGCAACATGTAGATCATACATTCATGTTTAATAAACAAAGCATTGTTTGTACTTGAAGAGAAAACATCGGAACAAGCAGAAGCCCATGAACCATCACCGATCTCACCAACAGTTAGACAGACGAGCAGCGAAAATGAAACGTCATCGTCAATGTATAAAATAAAACAAACCAACGTACCTCCGCATAAAGGCAATGAAGAAATTGTTACAGAAAATGTAATCGAAATGAGTCACAGTACTGTTTTAAACACTACTACTTCGTCAAAAGAAGATATCACTCAAGAAGCTCCACATTCTGAAATATCTTCAACAGTACAACCACTTGCAACTTCAAAGCTGAACGAACATACAACTTCACTAGAACAAGAAGAATCTGAAGAAACCTGTAGCTGCTCTTCAGCTAAACACATTTCATCATCGTCGGAATCGAAGCAAGTAGAAACACTGACAACAAACGGCAACGCATTCACTTCAAAACACGGTGAGACAAGTGATTTAATTCTTCAGTCAGAAGTCTCAGCTGAAGGTACGACCAGTGTAGAACTAAGAGTGACTGAAACATCTATTACCCAAGAAGACCTTAAACAGCAAAGCGGAGGCGTCCCGTCCCAAACTGCTCTCGAAATAACATCTCATGTTCTCAGTTTCGAACCAAATGTAAAGACTGAGCTTCCCAGAAATGAAACATCGGAAGGACACTCAATGCCTGCTACTCCAGAAGAAATAGAAACTTCACTTGGTTATTCCATAGAGCTTCCTGGTATGATTTCTGCTACACAAATGCAAACGAGTGACAATTCTGCTGCAACAGACGAAGGTATAGAAAATACAAGTTGCTGGGAGATTAGTGAGTTATCTGACAATAGCACCACAGAATCTTCCGAAATCGCAGACCTAACATCTAACGAAGAAAGCACCAGTAGACAGATCTCTACTGAGATCGCAGGAGTTAATAGTACTGAAACACTAGCTTCTGTTGGTCAACCCACTGAGTCAAGTACTAGTCAAGTACAGAAAGAAACATCTGTAGAACATGAGAGAACCAGTGAAATGGCATCAGAGATTGCAACCTTGACAAATGAAACACACCAGACTTCTACCTTGGAAGAATGTGAAGAATGTGAAGAAAATATTGCAATAGATACAGAGATGACTACTGCTATATCGTCATCCATCAAGGGAGAAGTGGTTACTGCAGAGACCCACGTAAATGAAGGAACAGTACATGAAGGCTTGGAAATATCCAACACAGATAAGGAAGGAATAACTTCGGAGGTATCATCAATACAAAGTATTGCGATGAGTTCAGAAACTGCCACCTCGATAGTTAGTGAAGTTGTTTCATTGCAGAACCCAACAGAGAACAACGGATCAACTCCAGAAAAAGCGCATGAACCGAACGTTGAAGAACCACAAGTTACAGCTACTCCATCTATCACAGAAATAACGACAGGTGAAACTCATGTAACTACAGCTGTGTACGAACAGACCTTAATAACTTCTCCAGGTTCCGAAATGATAAACACCGCAAAAGAAGGACCTTCTATCACAACTATTGGGGAACTCACCTCAAAACAAAATATCAGCATGGAAACAGAAACAGATACTAACACCGTTAGTGCTACTACCTCACTACAAACTCCAACAGTAAATAATAGTGTACATTCAGAAGAAACACTCGCACCAAAAACTGAGAACGGTACAGCTAGAGGTACATCTGAAATACCACACACTGGAAAAGAGGGGATGCTTTCTACTATGACACAAAGCATTACAATGAACAACGAAACGACTACTGTTACTCAAGTTGCTTCAATAAAAACCTCAACAGAACCAAATGGAACGTCTTCAGGAGAAGCATCACCAGGCCGTTCAACAGCTGCTGAAGAAGTAAGTGAAGAATACTATAGAACCGCTACGTACGAAAGCAATGCAAACACTTCAGAAATTATAAAAGGGAAAGAAGGAAGCATTGACGTAATTTCAAATGTCACCGATGAAAATATGACACGTCATCCAACAATATACCTTGACTTCACTCCAAGTGAAACTTCCAGTGCGCAGGAAGTGGAGAAAAATCTTGCCATAACCTCAAATATGGTAAATATAGGCAGTACAACCTTCATTACTGAGTCAAATGCAGAATTAGAAGAACAAAGCAATACAACAGCACTTTCCAGCGAAACCAACATCAAACTTACCAGTACTCGTTCTAAAACAACTTTACCTGAAGGACATGACAGAGGACCTACAGAAATAACAAAACAGATTTCCTATTTACCTACCGAAATCGCTGAGACCAAACAAGCGTATAGTTTACATTCAAATGAACAATCTACTGTATGGAATCAATCTACTTTAATAGAGCAGATCGCAATACAACATTCGTCTGTGACTTCCAAAACTGAATCCTCCGTGATATTAGATCAATCACTAGAGTCCACAACACTATCTATAACAGGCTCTGTATTTACTGGCATTGCAAATACAACTGAAGCAACTGCGGTAATGGCAACTTATGTAGGTGGAGGTGGATCTGCAACAAAAATTGAAGTTACTGAACATGGTAGTACTCCTGGAGTTCAAACGTCTCTAGAAAGTCAATCTACACGTCAGGAGTTCAGCAGTGGGAAAACTGAAGAGAACGTAGGTGCAATTGAAGCTGGTAGTACAGAGCAATATGCTGGTACTGTGGAAGGTCATTCTACAACAACAGTTGAAATCAACAGCTTATCCGTAGAAACCACATCGACTGAAGGTCAACGTCCCTTACTTAACAATGTAAGTGAAGCAACTTACTATACTGAAACATCTTCTAAAGCGCCTAGCGTAGATTATACCAACAAGCCATCAGAATACTCATCACAGTTTTCAATGGAAACTGGTACCTATTTTGGAACATATACTGCATCAGGTACCAGTGAAAGTGAGAAAGGTACTACAAAACCGGAATCAAAGACGCATTCTATGGAATCTGAGGTATTAGGCACCACTACAAATTTGCATGATACCCAAGAAATGCTTGCAGATACCGCTGCTTCATCCAATGAAGCGATTCCTGTAAACGTACCTTCATTCATCAATAATGCAGAGCCAAATAGTGAAGTAACTTTAATAACGTCATCTATGACAATAAGCCTAACGCTTTCACCGATAATACCTGAAAAAAAATCGTCAGAGGAAGCTACTTCGGCACTTGGCCAGTCTACAGAAATTAGTCAAAAAACTGGAACAAGTTCAGAAGGAGCAACAGAGCTTTTTGGCACGGTTTCAAACACGCTAATGCAATCAAGTAATAATTTTACAGACGAATATATAGAGAGTACGAGTTGTTGGGAGATTAGTGAAACACCTGGTAATAATACTGTCACAGAGGTCACACAAATTGGAGGATCAACTGCCAGCGAAGAAAAAATGAGCGAAATTACTCATGAATCTACACAAGTTAGTCCGTCAACTGTCCATCCCACTGAATCTAAGTCCAGTCAAATGTATGTAAATCATTCCACCGAAGTACAGAAAGAAACATCTGCGGAACATGAGGTGACTGGTGGAATAGCATCAGAGGATCAGTCGCAAAAAACTGCTGAGACACTGAATGAAGGAATGACCCAGAGTATCCTTCCCTCTAGCGGAGTGTCAGTCGAACTAAGTCAAGTTTCTACAAACGGAATGGAAAATGAAAGAACAGGAGCAACTATAAGCCAGTTTGAAAATACAACTGAAGTCTCAGAAATGAGAGCTTCAAGCAGTACTTCTTTTAGACATTCATCCACTCACGGAGAAATTCCCTATCAAACCGCAACAAAACAGGAAAGCTCAACGACAAGGGAGCCTAGTAAAGAAAGCCCTGAAGATGATTCGACAGGAGATTCTCAAGCTGGAACAAGCGTAGCTCCTTTAGAAATAGTATCACAAACTTCAGAGCATCCAGGTAGTAAAGAAACCTCAAAACAAAGTACCATGGAAACTGGGGCAACAAGTGAAGGTCCTTCAGAATCCTTACCAGTCAAAAAAGAGGATGTTTCAGGAACTCATTCGGTAGGGACTATGAGAACTTCTGAAGTGACCAGTATTCATGTGGCCGAAGTAACTGTTGAACAAACAGAGACATTTTCAGGTGGATTTTCACTTCAAGATCATTCCTCAGAGTATCCAGAGAATGCGAGTATCTTAAAGAAAACAACCTCAAGTAACGAAACGACTACCCAGATAAATGTAGGTTTCGAACATCACTCGTCATCTCTGACTGAATCAGAAAAAAAATCACCAGAATTATCAACAGCTTCCGAAAAACTAATTGCTGAAGAGCATTCTAGGGGAACCGGATGTACAGAATTTAATGAAAATATGGAGACAACCACAAATCGAATAAGTTCCGTAGAAGAATTCTATGGATCTCATACGCCTACAACAGAAATGGGAAGAACAGGGGAGCACTTTTCTGTGACACAGAGCATCCAGCATACTGCTTTAAGTACGGGAGAGGTAGGAACAGGTTTTAGTGTTCATCCCATAGAAACCCAACAGCCAGAAGTCTCAAGTGCAAGCACTACAACCACTGCATCTCAAGTGCCTACCTCAGAAGTAATAGTGACTCATACTAAGTCTCAAGTGTCAGAGCTTTCAAGTATGTCTACGTCAATATCTGACCACACTGGTTCAGAAACTCATGTTCAGACCAATGGGAATACCACTGGTGTCACTATAAGACAATGCGAATGTCACATCGTTAATCAAACCAATGTCATACCAAACAAAAGAGTTGAGGTCAAAATATTCGTCCAAGGCAATTCGTCAGAGGGAACTATCCAGATTTTAACTGAGAATATACCTGTAAGTGAAACAGATACACCTGGCCTAACCAATGAACCTACAAAGAAACCTGATCAGTTTGTATCAGAAACAAGTGCATTTGCTCCAGATCACCATACTTCCACTGCTGGAAAGGTGTCTGCTAAAGCTACAGCAATGTCTGAAGCTCAGATCGATCAGACTGTTGCATTTCCAGAGATCCCTGCCAGTAAAGCAACGATAACGGTCAGAGATGTACACGATGAGGAACCCTTGGATGAGTTCGCTTTCAGTAGACATAAAACATCTACAATATGTGATGAATGCCAACATGGCAAAGCTGGAAAAGTCAAAGAAAAGAAGCCTGAAGAATCTTCGGATGCATTCGGTTTCAATAAACACGAAACGTCTACGATATGTGAAATGTGTCTATCTGAGCAAGGGACTTCTGAAGAAAAAAACAAGCCTCAAAGTAACACGGACATCGTGGAAGAGCTAGATGATTTTAATTTCAAAGGCAAAGGTGAGACATCTACTTTATGTGAACTATGTGAAAGTGGAGAAGAAGCTGTAACTAATAAGCATGATCTTGCGACTACATCACCAACCCCAAGCCCACAAGAAGAAATGAATGCATTCAATGTTCATAATAAGCACGAACCTACGCTATGTCAGCTATGCTCAGATTTGGGTACCACCATACAAAATACTGAACCGTTATTGACCTCTCAGGGAACTGCAGAGACGCAGAATGAAAAAACTATCTCTCAGAAATTTGAAACAGTGGTTACAAGCAATGTTGTAGCCACGACTAGTAGAAAGCATGTCACCTCAACCTCAGGAGGGGAATCAACTTCATCCATTGAAGAGCATGTAACTGGAACACTGAAATTGTAGAATACAAAACTACTGCTCATGAAAGGCAATCGACAGTTTTGAAAAGCATTGGAGGAAGTACAACAAACGGGAAGCAAGGAACAACTGAAGGTAAATCAGAGAGTCAAGAAAAGAAAGCCAGCCACACAACTGAAACATGGAAAGAACAAGAAGAGGGTATTACTGCAGAAGTAACAGTACAAAATACTGAATATCTTGGAACGTCTTCAACAACAACAGGATCCCGTACCGATTCAGGCGTGCAGGAAGAGTCTGAGTCAGAACAGACCACCTACAGTAGAGAAACTGTTCTCACTAGCGCGAGATTTGAACAAGCCACTGATTCTGTAATCACCGTGGTTACTGAAAACGGTGTTTCTCCTTTTGAGGCTACAAGTACCAGAAAACATCTCACCTCAACCTCAGAAGAAGAACAAAATGCATCAGCTGAAGAACATAAAATAGAAACAATGGCGTCAATACAACATACTGAACCTCTTGGAAGGACTGCAAAAACGACAGAATTCCATACAGATATTTCAACGATATATGGAAAACATGCAACTGCTGATCAAGAGGAATCTGAACTAGAACAGACGACCAGCAGGGGAGAAACAGTTCACAATAGCGAAACATATGAACAGTCCACTGTTCTTGAAGAGGTTACCGAAAATAGAACTTCCAGAAAATATCTCGTCTCAGCATCAGAAGAAGAGCAAGATACCTCAGCTGAAGCAACTGAAACTGGAGAACACCGATCTCATCATGAAAGGCAAACAACACTTTCTAAAAACATTGAAGGAAATACAGCATGGGAAAAATTAGATGAAAATCAAGAAACAACAAAAGGTACATCAAGGAATCACAAACACTATTCTATGTTCAAAACTAAAACATGGAAAGAAGAAGATGAAGACATGACTGCAGAAGTTACGGTGTCAGTACGACATACCCAACATCCTGGAACATCTAGTAGAACTACAGGGTTCCATACCAGCTCCGAAAGTTCAATGACATTTGGAGAACATACAACAGAAACTTTTGAGGAGGAATCTGAACCAGAACGAAGTACTGTGGTAAAAACAGTAAATACTGAAGAAGCTACTGAAACAGCATCTGGAATAAATCCTGGAGAGAGAAACTCTTTCTCGCCTGAGGAGACTGAAGAGACTGGACACATAGTTGCTGAGAATTTTAAAACGACTAAAACAACCACAGAGGAAGTAACTCGGGAAGAACCTTCAAATAAAGGAAGCAAGCAAAGTAGTGAAATGTCTACTAGCGTACCTACTAGCGAAGGCAGCACATCATCAACAGAACAATCGTTAGAAGTTTCAAGAGCAGAAACAACCAAGAATGTAGAAATTCAGGAAGAAACCTCTGAAGGAAATAAGCTACGTACTGAGATATCTACTAATGAATCTGCTAATGAGGAAATTCATGAACGCCCATCATCAGAAGGAACTGGAGAGTCTACTAGTGAATCTACAAGTGAAGAAATCTCAATGGTAGAAACAACCAAGGAAGCAGAAAAACCTTCAGGTGAAAAAAGTTACCAAAGTACCGAAGTATCTGCTAGCGAATCCTCTAGTGAAGAAAACAACATATCAACTATAGAAAAAGCTGAAGAAATATCAACAGTCTCTCAGACTGAGGAAGAAACAGGAATGTCCAAAACAGAAGCAGATCATGAAGGCAGAAGCACTACATCGCCTGAAGAAAATCAAGAGACTGAACATACAGTTGTTGAACATAAGACAAGTACTAAGAAGATTGCTGGTGAAACTGCTAATGAGAAGGCTACATCAGAAGAAGTTTCAATAACAGAAACAGGTTACGAAGAAACAAGCACTACATTGCCCGAGGAAAATGAAGAAACTACAGTTCTTGTGCACAACCCAAGTACTGAGGAGTCTACTAGTAAATCTGTTAGTGAGGAAGTTATTTTCTCAACTACAGAAAAAGCAGGCACTTTAACAAGCTCTCAGTATGAAGAAACAACAGGAGTGTCGGGGGCAGAAACAAATCTTGAAAGAAGAACCACTGCAACATCTGAAGAAAATGAAGAGACTGAACATACAGTTGCTGGGAATAAGCCAAATACTAGAAACACTAATAGTGAATCTACTACCGAAAAAGACAACATATCAACTACAGAAAAATCAGAAGTGTCAACGAGCTCTCTTGAATATAACCTAAGTACTATGAAGTCTACTAGTGAATCTTCTAGTGAAGAAGGCAATTTGCCAATTACAGAAAAATCAGAAGTTTCAACAAGGTCTCAGTCTGGGGAAAGCACAGGAGGATCGATTACAGAAAGCATTGAAGGGAAAAGTACTGCATCGCCTGAAGAAAATGAGGAGACCGAACATAAACCAAGTACTAAGAAGTCTACTAGTAAATCTGCTAACGAGGACAAGTCAACTACAGTATCATCAGAAGAAATTTCAGTGACAGAAACGGGTTTCGAAGGAAGAAGCAGTGCATTGCCTGAGGAAAATGAAGAGACTACAATTCTTGAACATAACCCAAGCACTGAGAAGTCTACTACTGAAACTGTTAGTGAGAAGGGCAGTCTTTCAACTGCAGAGTCGAAAACAGAAACAAATGTTGAAGGAAGCAGAACTGCAACACCTGAAGAAAATGAAGAGACTGAACATACAGTTGCTGGGAATAAGCCAAATACTAGAAAGACTACTGGTGAATCTACTACCGAAAAAGACAACATATCAACTACAGAAAAATCAGAAGTGTCAACGAGCTCTCTTGAATATAAGCTGAGTACTATGAAGTCTACTAGTGAATCTGCTAGTGAAGAAGGCAATTTGCCAATTACAGAAAAATCAGAAGTTTCAACAAGGTCTCAGTCTGGGGAAAGCACAGGAGGATCGATTACAGAAAGCCTTGAAGGGAAAAGCACTGCATCGCCTGAAGAAAATGAGGAGACCGAACATAAACCAAGTACTAAGAAGTCTACTAGTAAATCTGCTAACGAGGACAAGTCAACTACAGTAGCATCAGAAGAAATTTCAATGACAGAAACAGGTTTCGAAGGAAGAAGCACTGCATTGCCTGAGGAAAATGAAGAGACTACAATTCTTGAACATAACCCAAGCACTGAGAAGTCTACTAGTGAAACTGTTAGTGAGAAGGGCAATCTTTCAACTGCAGAGTCGAGAACAGAAACAAATGTTGAAGGAATCAAAACTGCAACACCTGAAGAAAATGAAGAGACTGAACATACAGTGGAAATTGAAAGGGAACCAGCAACAAAAAGTAAACCAAGTAGTGAGGAGTCTACTAACGGATCTGCTAGTGAACAAGGAAGTACGTTGTCAAACATAAGTCACTTTGAAGGTTTAACGTTGAAGTATCATTGGACTTCCACTGTACTAGGGAATGAATCTGTATCGAATTTACCAGGCCATACAATGAGCCAACCTACTGAAGTTGAGGAGGAATTCTACCATTTCTCGAAAAACGGGGGGAGAACGGTGTGTGAGACATGTAAAGGAACATCCGAAACAGCCGATCATGGAAGAACAAAATCCACCAACTTGAAATCAGAACAAACTGTGAGTGAACAAAGCACAGTGGAGGTGTTCACAGCACCTGGCACCGAAGAAAATCAGGAAGGGAATAGTCATCCGCTAGTAGAAAAAACAACTCTTCCAGAACTTGAGAACAATAGTGAAAACGGTAACAGGCTGACTCATTCCGAAAAGAGCTCAGAGAATGCCTCAGAACCCAGCAGTAAAGGCATCAGTAGCTATGAATCTACTACACCAGAGCTTTTAACAAATTTTGCAAGCGAAAACTATAAAGCAATTACTTCCTCCAAAGAAATGTTGAGTACCAAAGAGGAACAACCAAGTGAAGTTTCTGGACGTACTAGTCTTGTACCATCAGGTAAAAAAAATACTACAATACATGGAACTGAATCAACTGTTCACGATAAGGTTACTACAGCTAGTAACGGTGAAGGTAGCAGAAGCTATGTTATAAAACATTCAACTCGTCTAGGAGAAGCAAATGCAGCCACAGAAACACATTCACAAAATGCTTCTAAAAGTTCAAACAACCAAAGTTTATATCTGTTGAATGTGACCGAACCTCCAGGTGCCCCAACAGGAGTTCCGGAGGTTATAGAAGCAGACAATGAGGGGACCGTCAGAAACAGAAATGATGAAAATGGCAGACCGCTTGTTGTTATTGTTAACAATTCTGGAAATAAGCATGTGAAACTCAACGATTCAGATATTGAAGGAATAATAAACAAACCCTTATCAGATGTGGAGCTTCAGTACATCGACTTGCACAACATGTCCAAAGAGGAACCCAATGGTGTCAATCTCGGAAGATCACATAAAAACAATACCGTCACGAAATGCAACAAATCCGACTATGAAGCAAATAATGAGTGCGTATGTGATATAGATAACTATGTAACAAACATAGAAAACAAACTGAAAAATAACTCGGAAATCGTTGAAAAAGACCTTGAATGCAAACAGTTCTTCAGCGTACAGGAGGGTATCGTTGTGTCAAACAGTACAAAGCCTACGAAGCGAAAAAAGAGAAGCCTCATGTTCTTAACTGCCTCAGCAAGCGAGAATAAAGTTGTTGAAAGGGACTCTGTCCAGGATGTTGTTGGAGAGGAGTATAAGGTACCATCTACAGGTTAGTATAAACGAGAAATGTTCACTGTGTTCCAGAGTAAGTAGTCAATCTCTCTGGTCCATAGGTCACAAAAAATGGGATAAATCTCTATCAAAATGTTCTTTGGGACATACAGGAAATTTGTTTTTGGTATTTGTATTGTACCCGCAATGGCAATCTTGATATATTACTAGTGCATATTTTAAAATTATCTCAATATATACAGGGTGGTCCATAACTTCATTCCATAGCAAACGTATATTTTTCAAATAGAATACCCTATATTTTATTGCATATCTGAATAAAGCTTCTAAAAACAAGAAGTTTGATACATATAACATATGATTTCGATTGAGAAAGAAGTCAAGAGGCGTCAGATCTGCCTGTCCCTATTCAACTATTACTGTGCCAGCAGTCGAGATATATAGAAAGGTGACAGTATGTCGTCTTTTTTACGATGTATTGTTTTTTTGTGGCATTATACAGGGTGTTTCAGTTTATTGTTGCATAACTTTAAGATTCGATAGAACTTTTAAAACTAATGCATAAAATCTATATAAACATGGGTCGAAAAATGCGTGGCTTCCAAAATACAGGGTGTTTAAATTTACTTTGTAAAATAGTTTTTTTTAAATATTTCGAAAAATATTTGATGTATAACAGTGAAAATTGGTATACGAGGGTTTTTTGGTACGACAAAACGAACCGTGGGCATAGTTTTACTGTAGCCGCTAGAGGGCGCTCTTTACTGTACCTGTAGTGTATTAAAATGACCGACAAAATTTTCTTAGTGCAATTTTTGATTTTTGAATAAAAAAACTGATTCTTCGCACTTTTCAACATAAAAAAGCTCTCTTGTGTTCGTTATAGTTAGCGGTTTTTGAGATATTTCGATTTTTAAGGTTCGATGCATGTTTTAACTATTTATGATAAAATAACGTTAAAAAGTCAGTATCTCGATAATTTTTAGAAGTAGGCTGTGCCTGCAAATATTTTTGAAATTGAAAGCAGAATAAGGTCAAACGTCAATTAGTTGACAGTTAGTTTTGTTGTCTGTTGAAACCTGAAACGTTTTTTTGCAATTGTGAATGCACGGAATTTAGTTTCTTTTACCTGTTTTTATTTTTGTAAGTTTTAAAAAAATGCCATTTTTATTCTCCAATCAAGAGTTAGCGGATATTCATTTTGTGTATGGCTTTGTAAATGGAAACGCAGCAGAAGCAGCCAGAGAATACGCACGAAGATTTCCAAACAGACGACATCCAACTCGCTCAGTATGTGTAAGAGTGCATCGCCAAATAATTGAAAATGGTTTTGGAAATCTCCAAAGGGATCAAAACATAAACGTTCGTCAGCGCAGATTTACCCGTATGATTCTGCGTGAGTTTGATAGAGATCCGACCACAAGTGTTAGGAGAGTTTCTGGTGCCTTGGGAATTTCAGCAAGCCATGTTCCCCGTGTTCTTAGAAATGACCATAGACGTCCTTACCATTTGCAACCTGTGCAAGGACTACAGCCAGGGGACGGACAACGAAGAATCACATTTTGTCAGTGGATTCTTGATAGAACTGATAATAATAGGGAGTTTTTAAGTAACGTTTTATGGACCGATGAATCATGCTTCACTAGACGTGGAGTGGTAAATTTTCATAATCAACATATTTGGTCGCATGAAAATCCGCATGCAGTTCGGTAAAGAAATTTTCAGCATGAATTTAGTGTGAACGTGGGGATTGGTATCTACCGTAATCGACTATTTGGACCCTACCTTTTGCTTCTTGGAATTTTTAAAGGCTGAACATGCAAATATGTGGGATGATGTTATGTTAGATTTAAGAAGATTGGCCTGGTTCCAGCTTCATGATTTTCCAGCTCATTATCCAGAAAGATGGATCGGCCGTGGAGGACCAGTCGCCTGGCCTCCACGATCCCCTGACCTAAATCCATTAGATTTCTTGGTTTGGGGATCTAAAAGAAAAAGTGTACCAGACTCCCGTAATCACAAGAGATATGCTAATAGACAGAATGAGGAATGCATGTGATGAAATAAGGCCTTATTTGAATAATGCTATACCACGTTCGATCATTCGTAGATGTGAATTGTGTATTGAACAATTGGGTTTACATTTCGAGCAACTACTTTAGATTTTGTATGTTTCTCCCAACTATCCAATAGCATTTTAGTTGTTAATAATTAATTTAATTTGTTAAAAATAATATTGGAAAATTAAACAAATTAATATTCTGTTTTTGTGTTTATTTGGAGTTAGGAATTATTGCTGTGTTTAAAAACACAATCTAAACGATCATCTTAATTACTTGCCCAAATCTAAATTGTAAAAAAAATATTATTTTCCCATAATTAATTAAAAATGCATCGAACCCTAAAAATCGAAATATCTCAAAAACGGCTAACTATAACGAAAACTCACAAGAGAGTTTTTTTATGTTGAAAAGTGCGAAGAATCAGTTTTTTTATTCGAAAAGCAAAAATTGCACTAAGAAAAAATTTTGCTGTCATTTTAATACACTACAGGTACAGTAGAGAGCGCCCTCTAGCGGATACAGTAAAACTATGCCCATGGTTCGTTTTGTCGTACCAAAAAACCCTTGTATACCAATTTTCACTGTTATACATCAAATATTGTTCGAAATATTTGAAAAAAACTATTTTAGAAAGTAAATTTAAACACCCTGTATTTCGGAAGCCACGCATTTTTCGACCCATGTTTATATAGACTTTATGCATTAATTTTAAAAGTTCTATCGAATCTTAAAGTTATGCAACAATAAACTGAAACACCCTGTATACGTTAGATATTAAATTAAATGTTTGAACAGACTTCCTTCTTGGGCTTGACAGTAACCTAACCTATTTTAGCAGCCTGTGCGAACATTTTCTGGCGTAACATATTGGCAACGCGGCAGATTGCACGACCTTCTGCGTCATCGTTGCTGGTCAATGTGGTGATGACCTTCGCCGGCTTCTGTCTCTTTCTTGCATGTGTTTATACACACTTTTCGCGCTTCTCTCTTGTACACGTTGAACCCAAGCCGTCAGACAAATTTGGTTTTCCCTGTATGAATCAGAGAGATTGACTACTTCTCTGGGACCCTAGAAACGGAATTTAATCCGCTAGCAGTTAACCTATGTCTATTATACTAAACAAATATCAATTTTATTTTTCAGGTTCGGACTTGGTTGTCCTTCCCGGCTCTACTGTAAATATCCCATGTCAAAATATGGCTGATAATGTAGCAGGAGAACTGAGCACTAGTTATGCTTGGACTTTCAAGAAAGATATTCAACGGAAAGGTACAATAGTTTTTGTTGTAAATAATTGTTAACGTTGTAGTCTAAGCATTGATTAACGTATTCCACTTGTGTGAAAAAACAACAGATACTAAATAGGATTAACATAATAAGAAAAAAAATTATTAAAAAACAGTGATTTCAAAAAAAAACTTTCCATATCTCTTGTGTGGTCCAGGGGACATGCAATTAAGTGGACCCTTTTTTTCTCGCAAACTAAGCAAGATACGAAAAAAATTCAAATGACAAAAAAGCTGTATTTCTATTTGCTTAAACCAAACTTATAAATTGCGCAAAAGTCAGTGGCCTACATTTTTTTGTCTCAAATATTCGTTCAGGTCCCGTTCAAGAGGCCTCGGGACTTAAGAAATTTATCAAGTGAGAGCTCCTTAATGTTATAAATACCACCGTTAAATTACAACAAAATTAGGTAATTAGGATATTTGAGATATACTAAGTGACATATAAATCCGAACACCCAGTTTAAATGGTTTTATTTTAATAAATTTTATATAAGTACTTAATGAACCATAATAAATAAATGATAAAAATTTAAAAATGATTGCACTGCTTTAAAGCCCTTTGACCTTTAATAATGTGTGGATGCACCCTGATGTGCTACGCGTTCTCCAACGCGTCTAGGCATGCTTCTGATCAGGTGGTCAATGTCCTCCTGTGGTATCTCATTCCAGGCAACCACCAACTCTTCTCGAAGTGCTTCTAGAGTCTGAGGAGGACGTTGCAAATTGAGCAATCTCTTACCCATCATATCCCACACGTGCTCAATTGGGGATAAGTCGGAAGATCTTGGTGGCCATGGTAACAATGTGACATCATTATGTTGAAAGAAGTCTATTGGGACTCTTGCAACATGTGGTCGGGCATTATCTTGTTGGAAAGCTGGATCTGCCAGGGTGTCAAGATAGGGTAAAAGATGGGGTTCTAGAACTTCGTGGATATAACGCTGCGCGTTCATGTTACCTCTAATGAAGATTAAAGGTGACCTGGAACCATAAGCTATAGCACCCCAAACCATAACTCCAACAGTGTGATGAACATGTCTTTCAACAAAAAACTGTGGATTCCTCCTTTCACCACGTCGCCTTCTAACCCTGGCACGACCATTGTGCATGCCTAAACAAAATCGAGACTCGTCACTAAAGACAATACTGTTCCATTCCTGATCCCAGAGTGATCGTTGTCTGCACCACTCAAGGCGATTACGTCGGTGTTCTCGAGTTAAAGGGAGTACCCAGTGTGGCCGGTATGAAAACAAGCCAAAACTACTCATTCGTCGGTAAACACTTCGCATGCCAATAGGTCTTCCGTGTTCTGCAAACCATTCATATGCAATGGACCTGGTAGTGGAGAAACGGTCCCTTAAGGCCAATAATCTTAGGCGGCGATCTTCACGGTCTGCTGTTCTACGGCGGCGTCCAGTGCCCCTTGCTCTTTGCGTACGGCCTTCTCGAAGCCATGCCTGACAACACCTAACCACATTGTCTACACTTCTTTGCACTCTAACTGCAATTGCCCGAAAAGAAAGTGCAGCTTCCCGAAGTCCCACTATACGGCCCCTATCAAACTCACTAAGTTGACGAAATCGTACAGGTCTCCGTACTCTAGGCATCGCAACCGATCGTAAAGGACGTCAAGAACCAAAATCCGCCAACGTTGATTCTTTACTGCGGCTGAAATTTTCATTTTTAGAGCGTTAGTGAATTAAAAAAAAGCAGTATAAAAACCGGAAGGCTGAAAATTTTTTCACTTGTTATTTACAGTAAGATAAATACATTCACCAACTTTTATTAAAATAAAACCATTCAAACTGGGTGTTCGGATTTATATGTCACTTAGTATATTTACGAAAAAGCATTTTTTTTTAAATTTGAACATCCTGTATCTTGAGAACGAGGAAGTTTCGGACGTATGTTTATAAGAACTTTTTGTCTCAATATTATTCAAAGAACCAGAAACACTCTGTATTTCTAGCACATTTTGCGATTGTCGATGCATTATCAACGAATTTAATCTATCCTTTTGATTCAGGAGAAGTTCTGGCAAACACAGAGAGTTCACTACAGCTTCAGAACGTAGAAGCGAAAGACTACGGCAACTACACCTGCAGTAAAACGAAAAACGGCAAAACTGAGGAGTTCGTGCACGAGCTGCAGCTGATAACTTTGCCGATTTACAAAATTACAATGGAGGTATCGTACAGCACTTCAGAAAGTTGTACTCTGGAATTAGAGGACATGATGTATTCGTATATGCCGAAAATTGTGAGCAGCAAATTGTGCGGGGACAGTGGCAAGGTGTGCGAAGCCGACGTTCAGCGACCGAGATGTACAGAAATGGTGAGTGCGGTAATAAAAGTTTTGCAATAAGGTCTATTTCATGACTTCGTTCAAAGTAATTTCCACCACATTCGATACACTTCTCCATCCGCCAAAACCAGTCCTTAGATAGATAGATAGTTTATTGTCCTATTAGATCATGTTACATGATATAAGACTTGTTAATATCAATTTGAGGGTCATATATATGTATATGCGTTTGGGCAAACATGCCGGAAAAATACTTATAATTATAAAATAAATAAGGACATTACAATTACAAAACATTTTAACAGGTTAAATCACATTATAGGCACAGCGCAAGAATCGTAATGTGTTCAATCTGTAACGGTAAAAATATATACATACAGGTATACAGCGACTTTTTGTATCACAAAAAATGTTCGTCTAGCCCATTGATTCCCAAAGTGGTCTATATCGACCCCTAGGGGTCTATGACAACCTGCAAGGGGTCTATGTCAGCGAAAAAAAATTTGGGGCTCCATGAAATGAATATGGTGGTCCACGATAGTGGATCGCAACACATACACTGATAGTACCTATTTACTTACATCATACTATCTTATAATATCAAAACATATACATTACTTATAAAAGTACATATGAAGTAAAAAATTTATTATATATGCTTATAAAATTGTGTAAGTTGTAGGATGTTGGTATTCGCTTTGTGGTCGCAATACATTTTGAACTTGTAAAAACCTAAGAGTCGCAGTCTCAGAGCTTCGCTACCTTGCACTGACTTGTTCAATTCGTCACTCTATAAATACGAATGTGGGAAAAATACGTTTATTCGTTTCCTGAATCTTGAAAAGGAAAGTGCTAAGAATATATTTTAAAAAATATAAACAGATAGTATATCACACAAATTATAGTGAGTCAGTGTTATTTTGTTTGAGAGTGCTGGAGAAAAGTAAGTACATTATTTTTTATTAAATTTTAGTTTTGTACTCGTAGTTAGCAAAGATAGATAAATTACGCCAATCATGACTTTAGTTATTAGTAGTTAAATATTCAATCATGCAAAATTACATGAGTACTCCTCAATAGTTTCTTTTTGAAAGTTTTAGCAATCGGTAATATAATTACAGTGCAATCTCCGTAATTCCAGCTAATTGTTGCAAGAAGATGTTCGAATTATGGAATGTTTTCGGAAAAATCAAAAAATATTTTTAATATACAGCTGCTGGATTTTCTGTCTTATTTAAATAATTTAATTTTGCCCACAGATGACTGATGCCATGTCCGAATCTAAAAAGAAATGTAGACAGTACAGCGTTGATTATTTGAAATTTGGCTTCATTCCATCATTGCCGGACAAACATGCAACAAAGTTTTGGGCAATGACGCTATGAAACCATCTAAACTGCAAGATCATCTGAGAAGATGCCACCCTGATAAAACAGAGAAAGATTTGAAATACTTTCAAACACTCAAAGATAAATTTCAGAAGAGACCTACACTGGACAGAATGTTCGCCTCGACGTCACAAAGAAATGATGATGGTTTGCGGGCGTCTTACAATATCTCGTTACTTATAGCAAAATCCGGAAAACCGCATACTATCGGAGAGAAGTTAGTTTTGCCAGCCGTTGAAGAGGTTTTAAAAACTGTTTTACACAAACCTGCATCTGATATCATTAAAAGAATTCCCTTAAGCAACAATACTGTTGAAAGACGTATTGATGAAATGAGTTCTGATATTGAAAGCATCTTATGTAATTATTTGTAAACGACCCATTTCTCTATACAACTGGATGGGTCAACTTTACCTGATAATGCAGCATTATTATTGGCATATGTTCGTTATATTATGAATCAAGAAATCTACGAAGAACTGCTCTTCGCAAGAACTTTGATAACCGACACTAAAGGTGAATCAATATTTCATGTTTTGAAGGATTATTTCATTGAAAAAGCAATTCTTTATCAAATATAATATCAGTAGCTACAGATGGAGCACCTGCCATGGTTGGACGTTATCGTGGATTTGTAAACTATTTAAAACAAAATGTGTCAGGGGTGTTAGCAATACATTGCGTCATCCATCGACAACATTTAGTTGCTAAAAATTTGAGTGTTAGATTGCATGAATCACTTCATTTAGTCATTGATGCAGTAAACCGAACCCGAAGCAACGCGTTGAATCCGCGGTTTTTTGCGTAGTTGTGTGAAGAAAATGACGAACACTTTCATCAATTACTCCTTCACACTGAAGTACGCTGGCTGTCGAAAGGCTTATGTTTGACAAGATTTTTTGCACTTTTTGAGACTATTTTAGAATTTCTGGATACTAAGATAAAATTTCAAAAGAAAATTTAATGAAGAGGAAAACAGACATCGCCTATTTAACAGATTTGTTTACAAAATTTAATATGGTTAATTTGCAATTACAAGGCGACAGTTTAAATTTAATTAAAACAAAGTCCATCTTATCAGCGTTTCTTGCCAGAATTAAACTAATGAAGCAAAATATTGGACGGGGCGAATTTTCTCAGTTCCTCAATTTGTCACAGACAAGCTGCCAGGAAGACGACGTTTCAACTTACGTTCAACATTTAAATGCCCTCTATTCAGATTTTGAATCTAGGTTTGAGGATATTTTGACTATGGTAATACCACCGTGGATATTTAATCCATATGGTGACATAGAAGAAACGAATGTCATAATACAAGAGGAACTGACTGAACTAAGTACAAACGAAGAACTTAAGGTTCAGTTTAAAAACGGATATCAGCAATTCTGGCTGCAAAACAACATACCCGTTACTTATCCCGTATTATGGAATATAGCGAGGAAATTTTTAATTCCCTTTCCATCGTCATACCTAGTGGAAAGGGGGTTCAGCGCTGTTACCAATCTCCTAACGAAAAAAAGAAACAGACTGGACATCATTAGCCGAGGAGATTTAAGATTAACCCTTACAAAATTGACGCCAAATGTTGATAATTTATTATTAAGGCATCAGGTTCATCCTTCTCACTAAAAATATTGACTTATTGCTTATGTTATTTTATTTATAGTTTATTTTATGTTTATTGGTGTCTGACAAATAAATGCCCGCATTGGGAATAAGTGCCCGCATTGATTTTTTTAATGAACCCCCCTTTATAGAAAATATTTTTTTTTAATTATTCTGAAAATTCAGGCTAGGTACACACTAAAATTCGTAAATTTTTTGCCTATTTTTAGATAACTTAAACGTATAAGAAGCGGAATTTAATCAAACTAACAGTGAAATTATTGTAGAACATACGTTTATGTTATAATTAATAAACGAACTCGCTTATTGTACTATTTCAAGTAAAAAACTTTTTTTTATTATTTTTCACTTTTTTTATTTTATCCCTCTTAATTTTTTTTTCAATGCGGGCACTTATTGCCAATGCGGGCACTTATTGGTCAGACACCTGTTTATTTAATGTTACGTATATTGTACATAACAGATACAAAATTTTATTTTGAGTAGTTTTAATTTAAATTCAATTACTAAATGTATAAATTAACATGTGTTTTTACTTTAAGTTTTGAACACTAAACTTCACTACAGTTAGAAATTTACAGGAAATCAGTATCAGGTAAGTAGGGGGTCTACCCAACACAGAAAAACATGGCAAGGGGACTACGACACAAAAAAGTTTGGGGAACTCTGGTCTAAACCCATGCTGGGTATCTGATAAGACATTATAGCGATTGAGAAAACATAATATACGTTTATACAGACATTTTTCAATGACTTTATGTAGAGATCATCGATAAAAGTGATATTGGTCTGTAGTTTTCAAGGTCTGTACGGTCATCCTTTTTGTATACGGGAATAACAATAGCTAGTTTCAAGCATTTCGGGAATTTACCTTGCTTCACCGATTTATTAATAAGCACTGATAGGGAGGACGATATTTCACGTTTGACAAACTTTATCACACGCGTTGAAATTCCATCATTTCCACTGCTTCTTTTATTTGGAAGGCTGCTGATTACTTCATCGATTTCTTCAGTGGTGACATCCTCGTAGAACATTGATGATGCTACCCGATTTTGTGATGGACATCTTGATGGGCTGTCACATTTAAAGTGTTCTGCTAACTTGCTCTCTACTATTGTGGAAAAATACTTGCCAAACTTGTCGGGTACGAAGGTGTCAGTAAGTTCTTTGTTTTCATTTTTCAGTACTATTTGATGATGTGTCTTTACTCTTCCGGTTTCTTCGTTGACTATTTCCCATATTTTTTTTAGTTTTGTTGTTGCTGGATGTTATTAGACTACTGCAATACTCTTTTTTGGTTGAATAAATTAATTTCTTGTGTCTCATACTTACATTGTCTTCATGTCTTTTCAGCAAATTGTGTAGCTTTCTTAGATCTTGGCTGGACTGTTTTATGCCTCTGGGGACATTTCAAATCAAAACGCCACAAACAATTGTTGAGAAACCGTTCAAGTTCTGCATCAATATCGTCCTCGCCAATATTCCAGTTTTCCTGAGCTAAGCTAACTTTGAGGTGATTTAAATTGTCGTCATTTATAGGCCTTGTCATGAGCAAGTGGTTGTCTTGGTGTTCGAGATTGTCGTGGGATGCATGAGAGAGTGAAAGAAATTGTGCAGTGTGGTCTGAAATGTGGGGTTCAAAGATTGTACATGTCAATTGCCTGGGTCTGAAGTTCGTTATGATATAATCTATTGATGTACGTGTCATTGTGTTATTTTTGTTCACTGCAGTGCGAGTAGCACTATTACAGTGATTTATCATGTTGTAGGATGATATCAGATCTTGAATATGAATTTATGCTGGCTTTCAGGCTATCTATGTTAAGATCCTCACAAATAATGTTTTTGCTACTTTCCAAAAATAACCTGTCCAATATATACCCTAAGTTCTCCAGAAATATCGCTACGTTACCAGATGGTGGGCGATACACACATATTATGCCAAGCTTCTCATTAGATCTTCCGAGATTCATTGTAAGTCCACATGCCTCGATTTCTCCCTCTTCCGACTGTTTCTGACATAAATTGCACATCCTCCATGTATGCGTCTCACTTGACAGAAGCACGAGATAAGGGTATAGCCGTCTATAGTCAACGCCAAACAAAGTGGCGTGCACGTCATCAAGGTGGGTGTGTTGAAAAATTTACATTGTTGCCAAACTTTTTGTAAAATAATAAAATTTATTATTTACATATCTAGGTTTATAAGCAATATTAACCTCAAATGATAACAAAAATAATAGTATAATAAAATTATAGATCTGTACTTGCATAATCATTAAGTATGACAATTATTGATCAGATGACACTATGAAACTACCATATTTAATTGATAGCTTAAAGGTACTGAATAAAAATCCAAATGGGGTCCTCCAAATTTTATGCATGGTATTTATTTTACAGAATTCATACAGAAAAATGCATTCTAAAATTAGGTAAGCTACTGGTGTAAGCTTTTTCTGTACAATAAAGTTAGTCGGAGTTTCTTTCTTCAGCGCTGTCTGAATCTGAATCTTCATCACTCTCAAAGTTGATTATTAAAGGTTCGATGTCTGGTCGATCAAAAATTCGTTCTCTTTCATACCATTTAAAAATTTCTTGCTCAGTATGTCGAACACTATTTTTCCACATGTCTGGGGTAACCGTTTGTAGAGCCTCGTTCCACATATCCAAACAGTCTTTTTCACTGTTACCATCTCTACCAATATGTCTGTTATAGTAACCTTTTGCTATGCCCCAAATTAACTCAATAGGGTTAAATATACAATGGTAAGGAGGCAGACGAAGAACTTTGTGCCCATGTTGTTCCGCCAATTCATCAATCACGTATATTTTAGGTGGTTTGTTTCTAAAAAAGTAGTTATTTTAAGAATAGGAATAAACAAAAGAAATATAAACTGTCGACCAAAATATATATAATTAAGAAGCATTATGTACCGAGCAACAATACTCAATAGCTCTGTTTTAAACATTGTGTTTAAAAATGGTATGTTTTGATTTGTCAACCAGTCTTGGATATTTTTTTTTGTCCATGCATTGTTGGGCACTTTGTTCAATATCATGCTGTGATAAGGGGCGTTATCCAGTATAATCATAGATGGACTCTCCAATTTTTCTAATAACTGATGTTGAAACCATTTCAAAAAATTGTCCTGGTTCATCTCTCCATGGTAATCGCTCAATTTTGTTTTCGAAGAAAATATCGCTTCACTACCCTCAATAAACCCATTTTCATTTCCAGCATGTAATATAATGTATCTAAAATATATTAGTTTTAAATTTTATAGTGCAAATTGTGTAAAAGTACATACCTTTTACCATCTGTTTTAATAGCTTTCACGCTTTTTTGGTTTCCATTTTGCCAAGAGCGACCTATGGTCCCATTTTGAAATATCCAAGTTTCATCGAGGAAGACAAACTGGTATAAGGCCTCAACCTTGGCTTGATTGTATTGCCTTAGAAATTCCACCCTTTTCAAAGCTATACTTGGTAGTTCCATGAGCCCTCGTCGCGGATTGTCCTTGAGCCACTTAAATCCAAGATCTCTAAGCAACCGCCTTAAAGACGTGGCACTACCATCAAATAATGCTCTATCTCTTAATCGAGACCATAAAGTTTGTATCGTAACTTGTTCTTCTGAAACCATGTGTAAATATGACATTATAATTTAGTTAACAAATTAATGCAAATTTCTGATAAGTTATTATAATAAGATCTTACTTTTGTGATACATATTATAGATCACTTCTCGAATGGCACTTGTATCCAATGTCGCTGTGTTGGTTACACGTTTAATATAACTCCGCTTTTTCTTGGGCGATTCTAAATTTGCATCACTTTTCACACCCTCGGAAATACGACTAACTGTCCTTAAACTAATTTTTAAAGCAGCAGCAACACGCTACAAAAAATGAAATAAAATTTCACTATTATTAATATACATTACATATAATTATTAGTAACCTACCTCTTGAACAGCATTTAAAGGCAACAAAGGCCCGTTGTTGTCCCTTTCTTGCTCAAAGTAGTGCATTAACGAGGCCACGAGTTCCTTACACCGACTATTTAACTGTTTGGGCATCTTTATATACCAAAATTGCCTTTATCTACTCGTAAAATGAATAATTTTGTTTTGAAACAAACAGTTGTTGATTTACAGTATGCGGGGCCAAAGGATTTATAAAGATTTGAAATGCCACAAATTGATTCAGTGTCAAAATTAATACAAATGTCAGTTCCCAGTTTAAATAAGTTTCAAGGTGACAATGTGTCAACGCTGCGAAATCGGTTTAGTGCGTTTACATGTCGATAAGTGATTGGAGCGTTTGCAAAACATTTTATTTCGCATAATGCGTCTAAATTTATCAGAAAGCAACTTATGTGATATTTTAATAACAATGTTTATATGACTATTAACCATAATAAGAGAGTAATGACCATTTTACAATTTATATATCACATTAATATGAAACTGCAATAGAGCAATTGTTTGTGATAGAAACCTAGGCATTAGGTCGGGGAATTTTTATCGTGATGACGTGCACGCCACTTTGTTTGGCGTTGACTATATATTCGCGGATTCTATAGCGCCCAATGGTAACCACGTTTCGGTAAGACATAGTACATCTGGCGACGAATCGTCAACAAGTAGCTCCATTTCACTGAATTTATTTAAGAGACTGCAAACATTAAGGTGAATTATTTTGAAGTTATTCTCTTCGAGGCATTTCTTTGAAAATTTTGTTGTTTCGATGACTTCTGTTTACTGTGAGAGGCGACAAATTTAGTGGAGTTAGATATATAGTCTACATTGGTCAAGGTGTGGTCATTGGACTGCTAGTGTTCTGTGTATTAGCTTCCGGTGAAATAAGCGTCCTCTGAGCGTGGTGTCTTGTTGATGGCCCTTGCTTGACTGTGGCAGAGGTATCTTGCGGTGTGACTTGTGGGGCTGACGATGACGTGCTTTCAGGGCGTTTTTCATGTTCGTTTAGATTTTGTGGTGGTGGCATTATTTCGTTGCTATCTGAATTGAATAATGATGATGGTCTTATTCCAAAGCTGTTGTGTAGTATCAGATCTGAGATTTCGTGGCAGAGTCTATGTTTACCCTCGTTGTTCAAATGGTTGGAGTCGTTCTTGAAATGATAGCTTCGAAGACAGTCAAATAAGCTCAGTAAATGTGCATTTGACCCGTGGTATGTGGATTTAATCTGTCTGTTTATGTCGGCAATAATATTATTTAGTATGGGGCGGTTTGATCTCCACTGTGGTATAGTGGTTAGTACGATGTTTGTGTTCTTTATATGGGTGATTTTTTTGCTAGTATCTTTTTGGCAACACTGTTTTTGACAGATGACGCGTGAATCGTGTCTTGTCATTGTCAAACTTGCTCAGTTTGGTCTATAATTTAACCATGAATCGACTTACGAACGAACAACGCTTGCAAGTTATTGAATTTTACTATCAAAATTCATGCTCGGTTAAGAGAGTGCATCGAGCACTGCTTCCAATTTATGGGCAATTTGCTCGGCCTACTGAGGACTCGGAAGCTTGTGACTAAATTTCGAACCCAGTTTATATTATTGGTCATTAAACCACCAACACGCAGACGTAGAGTGAGGACTGAAGAAAATATTGCGGCTGTATCCGCCAGTGTTAGTGATGACCGTGAAATGTCGATTCACCGCCGTTCGCAGCAATTGGGCGTCTGTTACTCCACTACGTGGAACATTTTGCGACAGGATTTGGGTGTAAAACCTTATAAGATACAGCTGGTGCAAGAATTGAAGCCACACGATCTCCCACAACGTTTCCAATTTGGTGAATGGGCGCTGGCAAAGTTGGAGGAAGATCAACATTTTTATCGAAAAATTGTGTTCAGCGACGAAGCTCATTTCTGGTTGAATGGGTACGTTAACAAGCAAAATTGCCGCATCTAGAGTCAAGACCAGCCAGAAGCATTGCAAGAGCTACCAATGCATCCCGAAAAAATCACTGTTTGGTGTGGATTATGGGCCGGTGGCATCATCGGGCCGTACTTCTTCAAAGACGACAATGGCCGGAACGTAACTGTGAATGGCGAGCGCTACCGTGCGATGATAACAAACTTTTTTTGACCAAAATGGAAGAGCTGGACTTGGCTAACATGTGGTTTCAACAAGACGGTGCCACATGCCACACCGCACACGAAACAATGGCCCTATTGAGAGGCGAGTTCGGTGAACAGTTTATCTCACGTTTGGGGCCCGTCAATTGGCCGCCTAGATCGTGTGATTTAACGCCGTTGGACTATTTCATGTTAAGGCTAATGTCTACAGGGATAAACCGGCAACGATTGACGCACTGGAAGCCAATATTGAAGCATTTATTCGTGAGATACCGGCCGATATGTTGGAGAGAGTGTGCCAAAATTGGACCTTGCGCATGGGCCATCTAAAGCGGAGCCGCGGCCAACATTTACATGAAATAATCTTTAAACATTAAATTATATCGACCGTTCTATCGACTCAAATAAAGATTTAATCGTTTTTTCAAATTTTTTGTTTTTTTTGAAAATCAAATCCTATACCTCTTAAAAAATCACCCGTTAGCTTCTAGTTTGTCCTTTAGCTCGTTCGCTTTAATAAATCCTTTGGACAGGGCATCATTTGATCCAGCTGTGCCAAGTTTGACCGGGACACACTCGTTGTTCCAAGCACCTGTAAGGATGGTGCTCAATAAGTTTCAGCCCAGTAGTGGTGATATACCTAGTGCATGCTTTTTCGCGGTGAGCTGGAGCGTTGCCATGGTGGAGGTGCCATGTCCATTCTTGACTTTGGCCGCAGGTTTTTCATAGACTCTATGACTTTAGGCAGGCACTGTTCCATGTACCACTCAGCTATCACTGTCTTCTGTAAGTCCCTTTGGAATTCTCTGTACCACCTGAATATAGTCGTACGATGAGGACAATCATTCTTTAATGCGAGCGTCATTTCTTGTAAGAACTGTTCTGTGCTTAAACCACGCGTAAAGTTATACGGTAAAAATGCGCTTATCTCACTGCGTGACGACGATACTAAAGTCCGCCCTTTAAACTGTCAATACGAATGAACAACTAAGTCAACAGGCGGCTACTATGCAATCATGGACATTCTTAACATGTAGTAACATGCAGTCTCCTGCATCCGTTTGTTAAGTCATATTACGAAACTTTTGTAAGTCAGACATATTTTCCCTACATCTGCCATGGAAACAAGAATCTGATTTGCTTTATATGCAAAGGTCGAAGAATCATCGTACCCTAGTGAACCTACCGATTCCGCCTTTTGAAACGATTTATCTCATTCCTTTCGTTTAAAACCTCCAGCGCAGGCGTAGGAAGCATAGAGTTTGTAGGCAGAATAAATTTACAGGGTTAATTTATCGTGGAATCTAGAAGTTTTTGAGTAGATCCTAGACTTAATTGTTGACCAAATTATATATATTTTTAGGAAGATAACAATTTATTAGAAGTGACGTTCATCGCGACCATCAACAACTTCAGCGGACTGCTACTAGGCGCCATTGCTTCAAAATGCGACATAAATTGCAAACTGAAACTGTACGCAAGCGCTATCAAGTTGGTGTATAAGAACTTCCAAATCATCAAAAATTTGCCAGGTAACCTTAGAATTTTTTTCCAAACAAATATACACCGTTTTTCACGAGTATCCATCACGTTTTGACGTCTACAGAGGTGAGCAGCTGATCAGCTAGTGACATATTTGTATTCGTCTGCAAAGTTGGCAATAATGAATCAGATGTAAGGGCCGTATATTCAGTCGTCGATTTTCATAGGTACTTCCTCTCCTTCAGAAAGGTTGGGATCTTTCTAGATTTTTACGGTTCCGTGTCAGCATCAGCGCTTTCCTATTGTCGGCCTTTTTATATACAGGGTGGCGCATCGAAAACGAAACAGACGCATTTACTGGCAGCTCAGTTTTTTTTTGAAAAACGCTCAGACCCGTCGATTTTGTTTTCGAGCTGGACACAAGTTTGGCAAAAAATTACGTTAGCACGTCACCACCCTAATCGGGGGTGACACCACCCCCAAAATCTTAAATGGAAAGGGGGGGTCAAGTGATACCTTATATTAAAGGTATTTCAATTCCGTTTATAATGTAAAATAAACTCAAATACTTTCAGAACATTGATATTGAAACTAGTCATCAATGGTAACAAAATGAACGTGCGATGATAACGCGTGGCGAGGGACTGCAAAACACTCACTTTGACATTGACAACAAATCTCGATAACGAGACCTTTCGGTCTATCCCAGGAATGTGGGGTGTGGTTCGCTAAGTGGATCGTGACGGCTTGCGCAAGGGTCGTGTTTAAGCAACATTTGTACTTAAAATAACTAAGATATGGTAAAAAATTTGGTGTCATTTTATCGATAACTTAGCTGTAGAATTAGCACAAAAGGTACTTCAAAAACTAGTTATTGAAATGTGTGCGGAAATGCACAAAATAATCAAATCTCTTGCATATTTTTTTTTCTGCTTTTGTCTGTTCAAATGACACCAAATTTATCATTCTGTGACTCTTATGTTCTCAGTTATTACAATTTTCATACATGCACTAGCGTAATCGTAACGTTAAAATAAAAATGGCTACCATTTCAAGGGGGGTGAGATATGACATAGTAGGGGGATGGATTTGTCGATAAAAGTAGCTGAAAAATCCCCTCCTTAAATATCGGTATGTCGTGACCAAACACATTGTATATATATACAGGGTGACTTCGAAGTTGAGTCATTTATTTTAACAGTGAGTAGATCTGATCAAAAGAAATGTTTTTTCCTTTACCATTTTTCTGGTAAAATTAAAGTAACAAAGTTATAGCCCTTTGGAAGTTTGAGTACCGCCCTGTCTCAATAACATCATGTGCTGGTGTTTGGCAACAACGGATATAATCCACCTTATCGGTTCATCGCATCGGAAACAAAAAAGCGAAAGAATTTGGAACGATGTTTACTTTATTCAGTTCAGTTATACATACAATCACTGTCAGTCGCGTGTGAATAGTATCTGTTGCGTGGCTCAAACGAAATAAAAAATGGCACATGTTTATGCGGATCGGTTTCCCAATCGAGTGCAACCAACCCCTCGTGCCTTTGTTAATAGTAGTACAACGGGCTCGTGAATCAGGTGACTTCAGACCTCACAGGGGACCTCACGATCAAATACAGGTCCGCACTGAAATACTTGTCGGGAGGATACTTTATAAAACAAGGTAAATTTTTTTTTTTATTTTTTTTTATTTTTACACACATATTTTGGTTTATCTTCCTTCTACAATCATTATCTGAAAATTAATGACTCAACTTCAAAGTCACCCTGTATATACATCAAAAGCATGTACAATTTGATGCAAATACATAGATATTTGTAACATAACCTCAAAACAGAGCGCTAACCCGAAAGAGTAGAAAACTATGAAAATCAAGTAGAATCGACTGACGATACGACCCTGAGTCTGGTAAAAGTCAGGACCGTAATTAGAGCTGTTGTCACCTGTCTAGATAGTTTCATTGACTTTTAATAGTAAAATATATGAAGTACACATGGGGAAATTTTTATTTGGAAATTATTATAGTACATCTGGCATTTATTGATTACGAGGTGTAATTCAGTAGAACCGGCTGTGCTGTGTTTTCCAGCAACTGTAATCTTACATAGGTAAAAATAATATAGACTCGTATTTCTGGTTAATTGTTTGTTATCAGTGTAATGTAACTCAAATATGGTTACATTGCCCTTTAAAAAAATTGCTGGAAATTATTTTCAGCTTCATATAGTGGCCGCTAGAAGGCGTAACTCCAACCTCAAAATTCGAAATGAAATTTTTTCGATAACCTCAAATGCAATGGTACTATTCTTTTTAATCAGAAACGCATTTTTTGCAAGTTTGTGACCCTCGCACTCCTTAAGGTCATACTCAAATCGTCATATTATTGAAAACAATTTTTAATACATAATTTACACACATTTTCTGGCGCCTATCAGTATCTGTTACCATCGATTTTTTTTTCACTATTCTGATCGTACCCCCTGTATATAAGGCTTGTTAAATACCCTAAATACTTGACAATCACGCAGGTTTCGGCAAAAAGGGTTTAATTAAGGTTTCAGGGTGTCAAAAAATAATTTGCGGATGACCTCAAATATGACCTAGACAATGACCTCAGAGGTCATTTGGCGGTCAGCTTTGCAAGTTCGAATAGCAACCGCCATCTTTGACAACATCCGAGCTCGAGAGTCTACATAACAGGTCATTTTCACACGTGGCATCAACTAGTAAATTCAAGCCATATGATGTATGATGTAAATGCTGGGCAACCTATAATTGTAGATTTAACAGGTGATTTCTCAATTTTACTTTAATTTTTGTCAAAGTTTTCTGGTCTTTTATCTCTGAGTATAATTTATTATATTCAATCAACACTTGATGGAATACAGATTTGTAGCATATGTTATACTTTTTGGTCATTAAATGGAAGTCATCTTTATTTCTGGTATTATGTAAATGATGGTCGACATTTGACGATGTTAAATTAGTTAGACTTGATGGAAATATATTATTTTTTACTTTATAAATGAATATCATTACAAGATATTTGATAAAAAATTTTACATTGAGCCATTTTAATTTGCTAAGCATTTGCCTAATTGGAGTATATTTATCTTTATTTAGTATTATTCTAATGCATTTATTTTGTAAAATTTGCAGTCTTCAAAAAATGGAATTATTTGCATATTATAGAATAGTCGAACAGTACAAGAAATTTGGAAGAATGATGGTACTATAGATAATTTTTCTGCTATATGAACTCAGACATCCAGAAACTCTCGATAAATATCCCACTTTAGTACTAATCTTATTTATAACTTTTTCATAATGAATATCAAAAATTAATCGAGAGACAACAAAAACCCCCAGGTATTTAAAATTTTCTACGAATTCAATATCTTCACCATCAATGTTCAGTTGAACATTTGTACATTGTTCTTTTCCGATTAACAAGGCTTTCGTTTTACTTGTATTTAATTTTAGTCTGTTAGATGCTAACCATTTTGAGACAAGTTTCAAGTCTTTATTTATATAAGAGATACTAGTCTGAATATTTTTAGTACTTATATAAATCATAGTGTCATCGGCGAAAATCTGAATTTTGCATTTTTTGACTATGGCAGGTAAATCATTTATGTATAAAATAAAAAGAAGTGGTCCCAGGATACTGCCCTGTGGAACACCCAAATTCAAATAGCGACTATTTCTGACAGCAGATTCGTATCGAGCTCGAGATCCTACATCAGAATTCTTTTTCATACATGAGGTCAAGCGGGCATGTGCGGTTTGATCAGCATGACCTTCTGTAATGTCACGAACACCCCACAAGCGTAGCAACCACGCATTTCATCCTCTATCGTCATGATGCAGTACATGTCATATCAACATTTCTTTTCGATCTCTGAACTTTATCTTAAAAATGCATGATTATCGAGTCTTCGGGTCGTCCGTGTACTTCAGTGACTTACAAATGACTAATGACCGCTTGACCTCATGTATGAAACTAGAATCCGATGCAAAATCGCGAGCTCGACAAGGGTCTGGGCTCAAAGATGGTTATTGCAATTTGAGTTTACGTAGTTGACCTCCAAGAAACCTCTTTGGTCATCGACAAATATCTAATTTGATATCCTGAAACTTTTCTTTGAACCTTTTTCCCCAAAAAATGCATATTTGCAAAGTTTTAGGGCTTTTCAGACTTTACAGTAGACCTCGAGTATGAAAATAACGTTTTATGTAAAATCTTGAGCTCGAAATGAATCTGCAGCCAAAAATGGCGGTTGCTGCTTGAATTTGCAAACTTGGCCTCCAAATTATCTCCGAGGTCATTATTTAGGTCAGTGAAAATCTGCTGCCAATTTTTTGTAGTGTGTTTGTTTAGCATCAATGCTACAACGTCCATTTTGTATAATAATTATTCATTTACCCATTTGAAACAATTTTATGTAATTTTACGTTCTTGTCTATTAGAACTAGATCACTATGCATTTTGAGTATTCATAACTTGATTTATTAATTTCACCTTAACCTTTTTTAAATTCGAACACTGTTTAATAGCATCATTAAATTTATTGAATTCAAATACTTCATTTTGAAATACAGATTTGCTAGATAAAATTTTGCAGATGAAAATCTATACTGTCTCTTGTTTCGTAGTTATAATAATGGCTATTTAGTTTTGTGAGGTTTTCTAAATGTGGTGGTAATAAATGATTTTTCAATTTGAATACGAAAATGAGAGCTAAATAACCAAAGGCACAAATTTCGATTCCAGTCAATCCATAGCAAAATCGGTCTTTAGAATCTTTTTTGGGGGAATCCTATTAGATTTCAATACTGCAGATTACAAACGACGCCGCGATTCTCTTCGTATCGCTTATCCTCAGTGGGCGTGCAACTTTAGGATCAAACTCTGAATAAAGTGCGTTATAGAGTATTTGTTTGTTCTAATCTTACAAAGGGTCAAAAAATGGGTCGTTCTTTCTTGTTGAATGAAACATAATTCCAAAAATTACCTAGACTAACCATAAATTTGATTTTTTAGTTTCTTTGCAACTCAACGCGAAAGCACATCTAATTCCAAGATCGGCAGATAAACTATCAAAATTTACCATATTGTGTGCTGGAGGATATGGTCTAGAGAAAGAGAAACAAAGGGTTTGTGGTAAGTACGTTATTTAAAAGCTCGCTTTGTAAACAATATTTTTCTGAATTAAGGGATTGATGGTAAATAAATTTCAAAACGATGTCGTATAGGCAGATTACGAAACATAACAATAACAAGGAATAATACTGATATTTATTTATGAATTGTCGATGCAAAAATTGAATTCAGCATACCTCAATGTTTTGAATAATAATGCAGGGAACACACAACCAAAGGAATGTGATTGGGCCCATTGTACAAAATAGTCTCAGATCCGATTTAAAAGCAACCTTCAGCTATCTCTTTCTTACACCGAAGTAGCCGCTCAGGCAGAACCGCCTCTTGTAAATTGTTCCATAACCTAGACACCATCAGGACAGAGGAACGGTCGTATCGACCAGTTCTGGTTGTACGAAGTTCGACATGTAAAATGCTGATCGTACAGGAAAAGAGATCGTTGATATATAAGAGGAACAGTGTGGGAGTCAAGTCCGATCCCTGAGGAACACCCGCGTCGACGTAGGATGGAGAGAAGAACCGGTGAATTACGACGAGGGACATAGTTTGCATAAGAGGGCAGCGTGCCGCAGCTGATCGAACGGCTTCATGATATCAAGAGCAACGACATGAGCCTCACCATACTGCCGTGACGTTCGAGGTAGTCCAGAAGATCGCGTTATATGCACTTCTCCATCACCTTGCTTATAACAGAAAGCAGAGCTATAGGCCTGTAGTTGTAGGGTCATTCTTAGATCCTTTTTTGGGATGACTTGGACATGAGCAAATTTACAGTTTTCTAGGAAGGTGCCGGATTCGTAAGATATCTGGAAGAGACGCGAAAGAACTGGAGCAAGCTCCGCTGCCCGCCTCTTCAATACAACGGCAGGAATCAAGTTCGAACCAGGAGCTGTCGAGCGACAAGAGCACCCATCTTACTTTCTTATGTCAGAATGGTACTTCCCGTATAGTGTAGGGAATTCTTTAAATACTTTTCATCCATTAAACGGATGGGTGAAGGTCGCTTCTTAATCCGATCTTCTACTAAAGCGGAAATTATAGAAACCTCGTGTAACGTATTTTATCCTATATAGAGGGCATTGTTGATATAAAATATTGACTCAAAATTACAGTGATGTGTCCAAGAAACACCTTCAGCAGCGACGATGGCTCCTTTTGCAAATTTTGTCCAAATGGCCAGTACCAACCAGAACCCGGTTCAAAAAGTTGTATGAGCTGCACTTCTCCTGTTGATGACTCGATGTGCCTGCGAATGTTGGTAAGTGCCTTAGTTTTTCATATCTCAAAAACCGAACATTGTACGAGCGTTTAGATGTACATTTCGCCTTATTCAACAAATTCCTAAAGTCAAGTAGCATGATATATTTATAAAATACTTACATGACTTGAAAGCAATTGCTTCAAATGTTAATACTTGGATTAATTTTTTATTGTTCTACATGACTTGAGGTCAATCATTTTCAAACTACTTGATAGGTACTTGACGGCTATTTATATTTTTCTTCTACCAAAGATCTTCAGCGATATTTATTTGTACAATCGATCAACTGTATTTTGTATTTTGATGCAAATAGTGATGGAAAAGGGATATAAATGTATTCTCAAATTTAGTTTTAACGGCAAGAGATCTTTCATCGATACCTGCAGCATCTGCGCCTATTGAAAGGTAATATTCACTATTGACACCATTGTTAAAATCATTCTTAAAATGAAATTCAATTATATTTCAGATGTAATAACTTTAGATATGATACTACTATGTATATCTATCCCCACCAACCTCTCCCCTCCTCCGGCTCTATTTTTAATCGCAGCTGTCCCCCTTCCAAGACGAACAATTTACTGCCCTTGATAATATACCTGTATGTTAAAAGAAATAATGAAAGAACGGAGACCTTAGTGGTATTTCTTCAAAGTTTGTCTTTTTATTTATCGGACAGGAAATAATAAAACGGGATCCGCGTAGCATAACGCTCTTAACGGGGCTCCTACAATCACGAGCACCATCTGCTAAGGTAACGGGGCGGTGAAAAGGAAACGAGGATGGGCTGGGCTTAGACGGTCGTCGACGCTACTTTAAAAGAGGAAAGGATGACTGCGGGTGCGTACCGAGGTAAATTTTTATAACAGAGTCGGATTTCGATTAGCGATCTAGCCTGTAAATCGTTTCCTATTTTGGTACTCAGCAAGTGATCATTTAGTATTGTTCTACCCTCATGTTGGTATGATTGTTCTTGAGTGCCTTTTTTATCATGGTTGATAATGGACAATAAAACGGTCATATGCGACAATTTTAATTACGATTGCAGTGAGTTTAATTCATGATGAGGGAAACAGTAGTGTGGAGCAGTTCAACTCTATAATCGCAAAATGCATTGGGGTAAGCGAATAAATTATTGCAAGAAGAGGTCATACCATGGAAGATGTGCTGCAGCAGTGGTGAGCCACAATATCGAGCGGCCTGTCTATGTGGTCCAAATAAATTTGCGTTCTAAGCTTAGTCCAACCTCGCTTATCACTAAGATGGAACAAAGACTCAATCGCAAGAATCTTGAAAAGAAACTCAGACCAAAAAAAGCTGACATAAAAATAACTAACAATTCGGAGAGCAATTCCAAAGAAAATGAATAGTTTTATGGCGAATTCTGTCAAAAGCCTGACATGTACGACATTGATTTGGAGGTTGCTAAGCAAGAATTTTTAGGGAAACGTAGAAAAAGTGACGACGAGATTTTGCAGATCGAACAAGCCACCAAATCACAGGACTGTACTTTGTGGCGTCTTCATCGGAGGATAAGTTTAACAGCGTCTCGATTTGGTGAAGTTTGTAGAAGAAGGCAGACAGCAAGCTGTAAAGTTCTAGTGAACTCCATCATATACCCAACAGAGTTTTCTAGTAAGGCAATAAAAAAAAGGAATACAAAAATCATTGGAGACGGAAGTTCAATCTTGTGGTTTGTTTATTGATTGCACACATCCATTTCTGGCAGCATCACCTCCATCTACCTATTACAGTAGACAAGACATGTACTTAATCCAGGTATGAGCCTACCTGTTTATTGCTTTGCAAAAACAACCTAACTGTTTCCTCTTATTTTGACCGCATGAGATATTTTTATGACCCTATTTCAATTGCTACCATCTACCACATGACCTTTGTAAACATAATTGTGTTTATTGACATGAATAAAGGAATTTGAACTTGGGTTCTTGAATTTATTTTATATTTATAGAGCAGGTACCGATTTTTTCAAATTCTGGGCACATTATTCGTCGGATTTTCGTTAATTTTTCCTGTTATCACTGGGATCAGACGCTTCTTAATAATAGAACGTGTTTCACGGATTTAAACCCACCCTTTTTAAGCAGTACAATTTTTTTATGTCTATGATTAGGAACCCCTGAAACGTCAAAACCGGAGTTTCAGCAATTGTTACTTTTTCTTTTTTGCCTATAGCACCGTCGCCACTGGACTAAAACTACAAAACTTTGGCATAATAGTAACTCCGTGTTGAAACTTCATGAAAATCCGAGCGGTAATTTCCAAGTTGATGATGAGTGATACAGTTTTTCGTGATGTAGATGTCATATGACTTAAAACTCATTTTAGAAATTTTCCGCGATTAGAATACTTCCTCGCCAATGGCGTGGGAAGTAAAACGACTTATCTACGCGATATTATATGAAATAGGGCCACCAAGTTATCTGAATACGTTCTTTCTTAGTCCGTACATTGCGCCGCAACGCTTGGGTTGGCAGCACGAAACAGTAGATAAAATTTGTCCAAAATACGATTTGTAGAGGTTAGCGCGCTTCGAAATTGACGCTTTATTTTTTGATATTTTTGGATGGAATTTTCGCAATGTGCTGAAAACAAAACCCCACAGGCTGCTATAGAGCCACTTTTTCAGTTTTTTCACTAGGTTGTTTTTAAAAAAAATCGCGAAGTTGAACAGAAAAAGTGCGCACTTCAACCCATCATAAAACTTGTGCAAAAACAAAATTTCAAAAAGTGCTCCTATAGCACCCTGGGCAATTATCTTCTCAACATACTGTACGAATTTCATTCAAAAATATTGAAATATAGAGTGTCAGTTTCGAAGCAGTGGAACCCTTGTAACTGGCTTGAAACTCACTGCCTCGGAGCCGCCTTAATCTTCCCCTTCATATTTTCCGGGGTAGATGGTGGATATCTATACGTATAAACCTCTTGCTTAACGTAGCCCCATAGAAAGAAGTCCATCGGTGTCATATCTGGTGATCTAGGAGGTCAAGATATACGCCCATCACGACCGATCCAACGATTGTTACTCCAGGTGACATCCTCCAAAATCAAATCTGTACCCTTAGTGGCAATATGGAACTAGCCCACTGTTTGTCTTTTGTTTCCTTGGATGATGTGATTTTTTTCCTTAATTTTGGCGTGTTGTTCGTTTAAAAGCTTAATAACTCAAAATCTAGTGATTTTATCTGAATCAAACCTTATACCAAAAAAGAAGCTTATAGAAAATTGAATCCAAACTTGCGCAAATATACAGGGTGATGCATTTGAAATTTTCGAGAAAAAATGCAATTCGCGTTATTGACCACCCCGTATGAGCCAAAATTAAAATTCGAACAAGTATCAAATAAGATAAAAGATGAGGTGAGGAAGACAAAATTCAGCACTCAAAATTTTGAAAATGGCGAACTGAGGGGTTGCCGAGGTGGGGGGTTTTTCTATACAAAACACCTTATATCTCGGTAGCTAATTACCAAAACCCCGTAGTATGTTATACCAATGTTCTTCTTTCGAATTGGTTTATCGAAATATGCAATAAAATTTGAGGCATTTCATTTGAAAAATCACAACTTTGATATGTAGGTCAAATTGGGACACCCTGTATAATAGCCAATATTTTAGAAATGTGCCTTCAAATGTCATGTATAACATCCCATAAATAGATTTTCCCAAAATGTATTTGTTTATGAGTAATATTCCGTCCACACATGGATGGGCCACCCTGTATATTATAGATAAATTATGATTTTTTGACATACTCGCTTAAACCGGAATTACGCCAAGGCAAGTGGATATGTCAAAAAATGTATATTCATCTATAATATGCAGCCCCCAAATTTCTCTGTTCTATCTTCAATAATAAAAAAGTTATAGGGCGAAGCTAACTTGAAGAATCACCCGGTATGTAAGGTGGGATGATAGCGTTTTTGTGTTGCATAGATTTCATTTTCTGGGACACCTTGTACATTTAATTTTTGCAAGCGCCGACTCGTCTAGAAAGTTTAAGCAATAATCACACTTGAGCTATAGGCGCACAAAGGAGGAACGAACACCATTTCCTTGCCGTGTGGTAAAAAAACAGGCTATGATCTTGCTACCACAGCACCAACATTTTTCAATAAGTTAGTTTTCGATCGATTATCTGTGTCCGTTAGTGATTGGACCCCACGGTGACCATACAACCGAGGAACCGATCTATCTTCATGGTAGAGGGGGAGCTGGTAGCCCAAATTTGTCGCAAGAGACCAGCGGGAACCTGTTATACTATACTAGGCAGTCTATCCCAAGGAGGGACGCACTGTCCAGCGATGGTTTCCAAGAATCCATCGTGCCGGGAACATCGGGTCCAGGACATTGACCCGGGCTGCAAACCCCTGTGGGAGCCAGGGGGATTCGCTGGGTCCGACATTTTCTGACACAGCGAGTTACACAAATCTCCAAGTCCGCGACTTGCGACTAGTTTGGGAGTCACCAGTAACCGCTCGAAGAAACCTGGGTTGTATGACCTCGTGGAATCTAATACAAACATGAGCTAGGATATTTCGAAATCATATTAAGGATACTTTCCTGAACATAAGGGAACACATGCTGAGGGATGTGCAACGGTCATTTATCCAAAGACTACGGCTGTGTATTCAACATGGTGGGGATATTTTCGAGCAGTTTTTGTACATTAGGTTTATGTTGTTGTTATAGTTGTTTTTCTCTATTAAGTACGCTTGAAGCTGATTTATACTATTCTGAGTGTTATTAGTTTTTACCTCAAATCTGTACTCTAGTGGCAATGTGGAACTAGCCCATTGTTTGTCTTTTGTTTCCATGGATGATGTGATTTTTTTCCTTAATTTTGGTGTGTTATTCTATAAAAAGCTTAATAACTCAAAATCTAGTGATTTTATCTGAATCAAACCTCATTCCAAAAAAAATCTTATAAAAAACTGAATCCAAACTTGCACAAATATACAGGGTGATGCATT